GTTTGATTATTATTATTATTATTATTATTATTACAAAAACAAATGTTTATAAGATTCTAAAGTTGTTTGACTATGCTATTAAAACAATTTACTAATTGTTTTTAAAGAAATTTTTTCATGAGATACAAAAGAAAAAGATAATATTGATGTTAAAATAAATAACTTGAAACAATTGTTTATAATTATGCAATTTATATTTATTGTGAATTATTATTAGTTGGTATTAGCATTAATTATTATGTAATATAATAGAAAAATACATGATTATACTCAATAGGATGTATTAATGTGAAAAGTAAAAAAACATTAATGATAAATTTTGTAACCGAAAATGGAGGGAAAATTTTAGAGGTTTTATTAAATAGGTTTTATTAAATGCTATTAGCTAGTAATTATATATATATATAGATTAATTTTTTGCATTATTACTTATTCTATACTAAATATTTATGAATATACTTAATATCAGTTTACTAAAAAAACGTGTAAAACATGCTCTATGATTTGAAAAATATTGCACAAATACTACTAAATTAATTTATTAGCATTATTACTAACTAGTACGTGGCCCGTGCGATGCACGGAAAAACAATATTACGATTGTGTCATAAGTTAAACAATATAATTCACCTATTATTTTCAAAACAAGACCGGATCGAACAGTCCGACCGAATAGGCCGGCAATCGGTTTATCGATCAGTTCGATTAACTTAAATAAAATGTTTGCTTACAAACCGGTCAACGCCAGTTGGTTTTGGTGTTCGGTTGAACTGGTAAGAACAGTACGATATTTTAAATATATTGTTATTTACTTTTATTGTCGAACTTAAAAGTTTGGCCATTATTTTTGCATTAAAAGTTTATTTATGTGATACGATTTATTCTTCCAAATTTCTAGATATTTATGTTAATAAGATATTGGTCATAGGTTGTTGATAATGTTTGTTTCCAAAAAATACTAAAAAAAAAATGCAAGTACATCCTATACAGTTTTTTAATTTTGAACCAAGATGTGCTTTCTAAAAAATATTGATACCTATTAATAAGACCGTATAAATTTTAAATTAATATGTACATTATTTTTGCATCAAATTTTAATTTCTTTAATTGAGTTATTATCACGAAATTCAAGACAATTTACCTTGATATTGTAATCGGCTCAAATTAATCTATATGTTAATAAAGTTTGTTTACAAACAATTTTAAGGATACCAATATTGTACAATTATATTTTTTTAAAACTTTAACAAAAAAAAAAAANCAAAGTAAATTGCAAAAATATTTTCAAAATAGTTAATACACCATTTTCAAATGGGTTTGAAAAAAAAACCCATGGATATTTGTAGATTTGGAATACGAATCTTTTTAAAATTAATATATAGATCCAATATGTAAAATATGATGTTATCTTTTTAAAATTGATCTAAATATTAAAAGATGGAATGCATTTGATTCCATATTAACTAAAATAAAATACAAAAGTATTTTCAATATAATTAAAATGGAGTTCTGAAGTTGGGTTGAGAAAAAAAAGTGTTAATGGATATTTGATTAAATAGAGCAGGTACCTTTATAAAATAGCTCTAAATATCTCACATGTAAAATATAAAATGTAGTTGAGTACATATTAAACAAAACAAATCTATCAAAAATAATTAAAAAGGCTTTAGTAAATCGATTTACAAAAATATGGACATATTTTCCTTAAGTGGTAAGTCAACAAATTTGACCAAAAAATTAATTAAACTGTCCACAAATGAATTTTCCATCAACCTCTTTCAATATATATAGATTAATGAATGTTGATATCAATTAATTTTAAAAAAGATTGGTATTGAAATAAAACTCAAATTTTATAAAGCATTATTGTACCAAATTAAGCAATTTGGTTACCAAAACTAAATATCCGTGATTGAAGGCGTATTTAAATGTTTCTCAATTAATAAATAAAAAATAAAAACAAAACTTGCTCGAAATGGTATGCAATTAATGTTGCCAAATTTTTTGTTTACTATTTTTGGTAAATAGTAATTCTTATTATATATATATATATATATATATATATATATATATATATAGATTCTATACTAAATATTTATGAATATACTTAATATCAGTTTACTAAAAAAACGTGTAGGTTTCTTAATTTTCGTAAATGGAGGGATTTACCTTAATCAAAAAAATCATCCCTAAAAATGCTCTCTCCCATCTCTTCCCTCTATCTATTCTATATGTTGTGTGAAATTGAGCTGGTAGGAGCGGATGGTAGACTCCAGGGCAAACTCTGACGCCGACAACGACTTTTCAGTCCGAACCTGATGATATTCCACAAAAAATTATCGGGAGGCAGCTTAAGAAGAAGTTTCTCATTTTGGCAGAAATAGAAGGGGACGAGAAAATTGATATGCAACGACAAATGTGCAATTTGCTATTTTTTGGTTTATTATTGTATATGTTATTTTGTATATTTTCATTGTTCCATTTGGTTTATGAGATTTGGAGAGAGTTAGATGAGTGAGGGCTTTTCTCATGGGCAATATGTCGAGCACCTTGAGTGCAGCGTACATACAAATTGGATATGCACTCTCTATTGAGAAAATCAAATTCTATATGGCAACAGCTTGCTGATGAATGGGTTTCTGGAATTGAATGCAAAGAACTGATTGATCTTTTCTGGTGATTCAGGAAATGTCAGTCGAGTTTTCTTCAATATACATTTTTGAGGATATGAGGGAGGAATACTAAAAACCACTTTTATGAATTTATAACCTTTTTTTTTTTAAAACTAACTAAATACATACACAATGTTAAGCATAATTTTAAAACCTGGCCCGGTAATCGAATCGTCGCTCGTTGCCCAGCGTTCGCGCACCCACCTGTGACCGAACCAACTCGTTAGGTCGCGATTGCCAACACTGCAGCATCATCGCATAAACACGTAATCACTTCCTCATACATATGATCATACAAAACACCAATCAAACACATAGTTCCCTCATACATCTGTAAACTATACAATTCTTCAATAAAAGTCTATGAGAAACAATCTCATTGCCGATCGGCTAATATTGGTGTCTTGCTTTTCTCTTTGTGTGTATTTATTCTTCTCGATCTGTCTAATTATTTAAAATTAAAATTTACCATAAATATTTTGTAACCTCTGATTAAGTTGTCTAATTTACAACTAGTGTAGAGCCCGTGCGATGCACGGGTTACACAATTTTAAGGCTATTTATCCAGGCTTATAATTATATACATGAATAAAGAAAAATGTATGGAATATATATAGTACGTGACCCGTGCGAGCACGGGATATATTTATTTGGGGAATATTATATTATAAGATGCAATATTAAATAAAAATTTTATGATACGTAGGAAAATTGTACAATAAGATAGTATTTGACAAAGAAACAATCATATATTATTAAAGACCTCCTTGTACACAACATTATGAGTTTGATTATTGGACAACTCGTCATTCTCACAAACTAAACATGTACAAAAAACAATCATAAAAAATTAATTTGTTTAAAAAAATAAATAATGTAAATATCTAAATATATACACGATGTCTAGAAGAAATAAGACAAATTCTAAATTTTAAAAATAAAATAAAAAAAATAAAAAAATATACGTTTCATATTTCGAAATAAAAAAAAGTAAATATAATTTGGCTTACAGTTTTATCGTGCAGAACCAACTCGAGATAGGATTTGTACGTGCTTGCCTAGTCTTGTAAAAACATTCTTACAATTAAAACTTAAGCATCGGTCTATTAGACTTATTAACTTGTTTGATTAAACAAAATCTTTGATTAATTGTTTTGAATGAAAGTCTGATTGGGGATATTTTTTTCGCAGGAGGTTGAAAGTGAGGAAGACGATGACTCAATATTTTGATATTTATAATTTATAATTAGTAGAGTAGAATCAATATCTGTTAAGATTTTTAAGAAAAAAATCTTGATACACGGAAATCACATTATTTGTAGAAAAACAAATCAGATCATATTTTCCATACAATTAAATAAGATTTTTTGTACAAAGATAAGAAAGAATTTTAAATCTACACAAACTATAAATATTAAATGTATTGATTTACGTAAATCAACATCTATATAGACAACCAAACCTTCAATTTAGGTTTGACATCTGATTTATTTTTGGTAAAATCATGATTTTATCATCCGATCAAATCTGCCTTTTTTGTGTTTTACGTACATTTTATTTTTGTACCGATTTTATAGGAAAAAACAATTAAATAAAAATTAATTGATAGAAATAGAATGCATTAATTACCTTTGACTTTTCTTCCTACTAACTAGTAAATGGGATGGCCTCTTTATATAAGTATAGATACATTATATATTAAATTAATTTTTAATTAATTTTTGGAAGATTTATACCAGTATATATTAAATTATTTTCGACATATTTACAACAGATACTACGTGTATTGTACGGATTTGGATTCCATAAAAAAGGATTTGCATCAATCATATACAATGAAATAAATCCCTCCACAAAAAAGGGAAAAAGTTGAGTCCAAATTGTGAAAAAATTAATGCAATGGCGTAAAAGTAAAAGAAGGATATATTACATATTATCTGTTGCAGTTAATGCTTGCTATTTATTAGGTCGAAATTAATGCAATGGCGTGTAACAAAAACAACTCATATGGAATGATTTTATGATAATTAATTCGGTATAATTATTGAGGCGTGTGAAAAGGACATAAAACTTGCTGTTTTTGGAAAATAATTAATGCAAACCAGACTTTGACCATAAATTGACCTACTAATTTTGATAAATGTTAATTCTTATTATATATATAGATTTCCGTAATCGTTTACGATCGACCGTTAACATGAACTACTTCTATATAATAATAACAATAAAATTTGACAATCTCACCCTCGTTATCCAAATTGTTCAATGTTCTATTAAAAAAACAAAAGATAAATTGATAATCTCATACTCATTTTTTTCAATTTTTTTTTTTTTNCTTCAAATTTACTAATTCCAATATGATATCTATCTAAATCCAAAATAAAACAATCTTTAAACTCTTGCCCAAGCCACCACAGCGCACTTGCGAGTTACAAAGCACTGACGGATCAAACTTCGCAGCAATTTTTTTGTCCTCTCTTTTTGCCTGTGAGCCTCAACAATGTGGATTTTCGGAAGAAAAGGGGCATCTGGGTTTTCAGCCTGCTCAACAGCCGAAGAAGTTGCTCGAGGAATTGACGGCTCTGGTCTTACGGCCATCGTCACAGGTCCTTTTCTTTTCTTTTTTTTCTTGTCATTTTTTCTGGGTTCTTATTGGAAAAAAACTTGGATCTTGATCGATCAGGGGTCGTGCCTATGTGGGGTGAACTCCTTTTCTTTGGTGAAGTTGATTGTGCTGTACAGTTTTGTTTCTTGTTCAATCGCGCGTTGTGATTTTTTTAGTTCTGAGTTGAGTGTTTGAGGGTTGCACTTTTCTTTTCNATTTGCTTATTGAATCATGGTTCTTCACCTAGGATGTGATTGAAAAGTTGTCTTCTTGGCTATTTATGTGCAGTAAAGGGAATGTGCAAATTATTAACTTTCTCAACTTCTGATTCTCAGCTACTTGGTGTCAGAGCCAATAAATGACTCTCTGAAGACACAACTCAATTGTCTGCAAACACAGTTAATTTTCACTCTACCCGAGTGGGCACCACACGGGTTTCTAGTTAGTTGTCGGATCAATACACATCCAAATGGGTATGTGTGAGTGTGTGTGATCCAACGGATAAGTGGGTCGACTTTACCGACAAACACTCTTGGTTCTACTTTAAAAAAAAAAATAGAAATATTTCGTATTTGCGCCTAAAGTTTGGTAGCATTTAAGACATCTGATAAATAGTATTTAGCATCCTAAGTTTTTTTTACAACCTGCTATGTGTACTGCTGTTTGCTTCGAGCTATACTCCATTGATGCCGATTGCAAATGGGAAACTTTTTTGATCTGTCCTATTTGCTAATGTAACAGACAAGATTTCTGGAAGAATTTTACCAGCTTGTTTTACCTTTCATTGGTTCAAGAGCCAAAAATTTTGAACTTAAAATTATTAATCTTTGCCTTATCGGCTTGATTTACGAGTGTTCACTTTGATACATATTTTCAGGAGCTTCAAGTGGCATTGGAACAGAGACCACCCGAGTCCTTGCATCGTGCGGAGTTCATGTGATTATGGCAGTACGTAATGTAGACAGTGGTAAAAACGTTAAAGAAACAATTATTAAAGAGATCCCTAATGCTAAAATCGATGTCATGGAACTCGATCTTGGCTCTTTGGCATCTGTCAGGAAATTCGCATCAGAATATAACTCGTCTTCTCTTCCATTAAACCTCCTCATGTGAGTTGCTTGAAATTTATGATCTGTTTAATGAAATTAAGGCATGCTCTTTGATATAGCATGTTATGTATTTAAACTGACATTAGTGTTCTTCCTTTGAAAGTAATAATGCAGGTGTTATGGCTCCTCCATTCACGCTTTCCCAGGACAACATAGAGTTGCAGTTTGCAACTAACCATCTAGGTAACATTTCCTACAGGAGCTAGCTATTAACTAGATGAGTTTTCAATTAGATTATGCTTCTAGGACTTTCTTTTCTGACATTGGTTATTTCCAATATTCTTGCTTTGCTTTACCAAAAGCAACATGCTAAAAAATAAGCATGGATCATATTTCCACTATGTCTTTACTCAATATAAACTAAAAAGTTAGTGAGTCTTCTGAATTCAGGGTTTTATGCTCAATGTGCAGTAACATTTTTTTTTTCTTCTTTTTTTGGGATTTCTATCTTCCATATTCATTCGTGAAAGCCCCAGTAAATAGAAAAACTTTTTGCCTTTTCCGTTTCCGTATTTTCAGCCTAACAGGTCTTCTTTTCAGTATTTTATATGTAGTTTAATCGGTTTCATCAAACAACCATTTCCGTTTTATTACCATACCAAAGAACTTTTCATTATCCATTTGTTTTTTCCATCAAATGTTTCTGTTTTGCTGATTAAAATGGTCGTTGTTCTTGAATGTTTGTTCCATCCAGGTTGATCCTGTTTTCATCTACTTTTTAAGTGTTTCACCAGCTCATTTAAGTGCATAATGAAATCAATTATAACCCTCATTAGTGACTAAAAAGTTATTATCAGTTTTCTGAAAAATTATATATCTTATATGCAAGAACGCTGTTTCTTTTTCTTTTTTTTTTTCTTTTTCTTTTTGTCAAGATTACTGATATTGACGCCTATAGTATAATTGTTTGCTTATTTGTTACTTTGTTTTCTTTGTCTCGATGATGCTTGAGCTTCCTCACTTTAGAAACGAAGAACATGTTTGTAAACTTGTCCTTTTCTTGCTTTCATGTACAGGTCATTTTCTTTTAACCAATCTTTTACTGGATAAGATGAAGCAAACTGCACGAGAGGGCCAGAAAGAAGGAAGAATTATCAATGTTTCATCAGAAGGTCATCGTTATGTATATCGTGAAGGCATTCGTTTTGATAAAATAAATGATAAGTCCAGGCAAGTTGTGCTAAAAGTTTTTTGGGTTTACTCATCTTCAATTTCATTCTCATCAACTCCTACATACTTCCAAAATTCAAATAATCTTAATTTGAGTTAGCTCGGTACTCTATTTGAGTGTTGTAAATTTGAAATTCAAGTGGAAATTGCGTTTTAGTATAGAGAACTAGAAGTGTTACACCATTATTTTTATTTGTTTTGAAGTGAACTTTTTATTCTATGAATTTAATCATTATTTACTGATGTCTCAGACAAAGTAGCAACATTCAATTTGGGACGTATGCATGTTTTGTAAGCTCTTTCCATAATTAACGTTCTAATTTATTTAATAATCTTTGCCTATAAGAGATCACACAAATACAGTCAATCCATAATTTCGGCTGAGTTGACAATTAACTAAATATAACATAAAATGCGTAAAATCTAATTTTGTTGAATTTTGAGCGCAGATGCTATGATTTCGTACGATAGAGTTAATAAACTTGAATTTGTGAATAAGAAAAATATAATCATGCATTAAAGAAAGATATAGATACTTGAGTTTTTCATCATTTCTTGTATGCATTTCGAAATATCCTGCTTGTTTTTAGGATACGTTATTCATTGGAAGGAATTTAAGTCTACAAAGATAACACTTGCATAGAAGAAAAAGATGTGTATAATTAACTTCATGGGGCTTTGTCTACAAATTTTCTGCTCTTACCCGAGTTTGTTATTTTAGTATCAGATGTCATATTTCTTACTGCAAAATTAACAACAGTAAGCAATTTCTTGTATAATACAGTTACTATAGCATTTTGGCTTATGGACAATCAAAGCTGGCAAACATATTGCACGCTAATGAACTAGCGAGGCACTTAAAGGTAAGAGTGTGAGTGGAATTAAAAGAAGCTATTTTTAAGTTTTTGAAGCTTGGAACACTAGTTTTGTCCAACTCTTCAACAGACGAATTACAAATGTATTCTATTTGTGAGATTTTTTACTATGTCTTATGCTAGTAAAACATAGTAATAGTTAATATTTTCCCGAACAGGAAGAAGGGGTCAACATAACTGCTAATTCACTACACCCTGGAGCAATTGCCACTAACCTCCTGAGGCATCATGGCATCATTGATGGTGAAGCACTAACCGTACTTTTATGAATATTGCGTACAATTTGAATATATAATTCATTAATGAGACTAAAAAAAATGTTTGTTGTTCATAAAATAGATGTGAATTGTGATCTGCAAGAGAAAAAAGGGGGAGTAAGTGAGAATTGATGATTGGAAAACCTCTCATTTTGAAAAAAATATTATTTCTGTAAAAAGGTAGCATATAACAAAGAATCCAAAAAATGAAAACGAAAAGCAAAGATGAATTTTGAAAGTGTGCTTTTTGTAATTGCTTTTTGTTTGCAGGTGCAGTGAATTGGGTCGGTAAATATTTCCTGAAAAACATCCCTCAGGTTGGTTAAAACCATTCATCATCTATCTACAACAACAACAACATAGCCTTTTAGTCCCAAGCAAAAAAAAATAAAAAAATAAAAAATCAGACAACTCAGTTATTATTCGACTAATTGACTTCTGAACTTGAAATCGTTTTTCTTGTTCGATCACAGGGGGCAGCCACAACTTGCTACGTGGCTTTGCATCCGCAGGTTAAGGGAGTATCGGGTGAGTATTTTGCAGACAGCAATCTTAGTAAAATGAGTCAACTTGCTTCGGATGCACAATTGGCCAAGAAACTATGGGATTTCAGCTTGAATCTGACTGAGCCCAAGTGAAGCTTCACTTGTTCTCCCAATGTTAGTGTGATTAACATAGTTTTATAATTTTATCGTTATGAAACTGTGTAAACTTTGTGGGAGCTGGTCACTTTCGTCTTTCTATGAATTTCTGCTGAAAGTTGTAAAGGATAGTTTGACATGTTTGAGCTTGAAAGAGATTCTTGAGTTGTTGGAGTTGAAATCTTGGATTCATGCAGCTGATTTTTTTTTTCCCCTCCTAATAATTGGAATATTGACCGGTTTTTATTTTCTTATAATTAATATCACTATTTCCATGATTTGATTTGGAGATTTTGTGTCAAAGTGAATAGAATCCTCCTTGTCTCATCCAAGTATATGCCAAATATGGCAAGTATGCATTTCTACAATTACTCGTGATTTTTTTGCTGTGGACCACAACATATGATATTAGCAATTTCAATTTATCATTGTAAGAAAAATAATTTTGACATTGATTAAAAATTAATGTTCATTTTTTTTATNATATAAAAAGAAAGAGAGAGTCGTGAAGAAAAAGAGCCCGAGATCGGGAAGAGATGAGATTGAGTTGGAGACTTTCTTCATCATAAAAATGGAGATTTTGATGTTGTTATAATTAGATTGTTGAGTTTCCAGTAATAATCGAGCTGGAGTTGAGATACAAACTGATTTCTTATTTTTGAAAACAAGACACTTAGCTTGAAACACCAAGGCATGAGATCTTCTAATCAGAAGAAAATATGAAAATATTGAAATCTTAAACTCTACAAACTAGACATGGCTAAATGGCAGTTCCAGGCCGGTTTCGGGTCGGAAAGACCAGTTCCCGGCCGATGTTTGTTGCACCGATTACAAACTGATTTTTATAAAAAAGAAAAAGAAATTGGAGTGGGAGCGCGGGTAAAAAAATTTGATTTAAGCTTAATTGACATATTATAAGTTAAAATATTAATTAAGTTGAAGAATTATTTGAGTTAAAAATAGATATTTTAACTTATAATATGTCAGTTAAGTTGCTCACATATCTCTTACCTTGGGAATCAATGTTCTCATAGTTCTCTTACTTTACTTACCTTGATGAAAGTAGTTGGCAGAATCAGTTGTTCAACCGACGCTCTAGTAATCGACTAATCGTAGTCGTCTTCGTACTAGTAAAATCGGAAGCTTATCCTTCTTCATCCTCTTCGGTAGTTAACAAGGCCGTTGGATCCTTCGTTCGGCCTTCTTCCAATCACTTAGCAACATTTGAACCTCTAGATTTTGTAGCGTCAACCTCAACCGTCATGGGTCCAGTGTGTATCTTCTCTCGCTAAATGTTTGTTCAACCGCTACTGTTGAGCTCGGGACAACGAAAATCTCTTTGGCCATCAAGCATGAAATAGGATAAATGGTACTTATTTTTTACCACCAATCAAAGACGTCGAATTTGAATGGCGCAATGGTTCACGAAAATATCATTTAACTATTTTTTAACATATCTCTTACAAGTTCGTCGAGTTTCTCAGGATCTTTAATAAAAATTACGGCTACACATTGACTTAACACAAGTTGAGTAGGATAATAACCACCATAAAGTATGTTAGTAGGAGTTTGAAATGTTCCTAAAAACTCCATAAGTGTTTCCCATTTATCAATCAGTGAAAGTAACGGTGACATCACAATTCTTACGTTAAGGACTCCTAAAAAATTGCTCTAATTGTGGAGCCCATTCAAACGTTTTTACTAACATTTGTAAGTTGAGTTCCAACGGTAGGAATGTCATTTTTTTTCGTTTATTGAGGATAGCGTCATAGCGATATAAATAAGTAACGACGCCCCTAATGGGCTTGACCGATGCTTTCAAAGCATGATAACCCGCTTGGACACAAAGATTAAGGACATGACACCTACATCGAATATAAAAAAATTTCCACCACAAAGGGAACGATAAATTGTTCTAAGCTCACTTAAAGAAGCAGTATTAGCACTAGTATCAAATGAAATAGAAAAAGTCTTTTGCCAATTTTATAAGTATTCAAGACCTTAGACATTAAACAAGTGATATTCGAAGCAGTATAAATGGTATCAAATCCCGTATAAGCAATTAAACGTATTTGTAATGTAAAACTACCATATATCCAATGACAAGTAAATTCCCATGTAATAATTATCTTGTCAATGATCAGACATCGGACTAAATGTCACACCAAATAAAAATTCTTTGGTTTAAAGCTTCAAAAGTTTGCGCCAAAATTAATTCTTTCCCACCCACGAATATTCGAATATCACGAGTGAGAGTATTACTGACCGCGGGTCGCAACGCGGCAAAATTATAATTTATATTTTTCCTCATCTAACCTCTACTAACTAGTAGTAGCGGCAAGTAAAGGTCGATCCCACGAGGAGTGTGTATTAAAATGTGAATTTCCTCGTATTAATTGAAATTATAAAAGCAATAAAGGGGGAATTGATTTATAAAATCTAATGTATCTAGGAATAAAATATAAACAAAGAAAATAAATATAAAATTAAATAAACTAAGAAAAAATATCTAGTTCACGGTTCCGTCTACACCCTCGACCGACTTGTCTAATCAACTTTGGTATCAAATCTCGCTATCTATGAAATTACTAGCCCTAGGCAACGACACGGTCTGTTACCCAAATTTTTCTTTATTTTTAATTTAACCGCGAGACGCACTACGATTAAACCTGACTTCTTGTACAGTCCTGAAAAATGTTTTCAAGATTTAATACAATCAGCCGCTTTACAAATTAGAAAAATATGCTAGACTAAGTAGTGAAATCAACCGCGTTCATTCACTTAAATAGGCCATGTTATCCCCGGTAGTTACCGTCTTTCGGTAGCCTCTAATGAATTAAACACAAGAACAATTACAGATTGAAGGTCTAATTCAGCTGTAGATATGAAAAGCCTAATCTAGGTGATCAATCTAAATAAGATTCAACACATCATGGTTAATTATTCAAAATAACACAAACAATTCCAAAAAGATAATAAAATCATCAACCACGAAAATCAATTAAACATCGTCAATCGTACGGTTCGACTTCCCCGAAATTAGAAATAAAAACTACTTTAGCATAATAAATAAAAAGCAAAAAAGAAGAATAAAATTATCCTTCTCGTGTATAGGTGGGGCCTCCTTCCGCGATTGATCGTGTTTCTCGCGTTCTGTCTGCTTTTCCGTGCGTCTGCTCCGTTTCTCCTTGGCTGCGTAAAATAAATCCCTTTCTTCTCTGTTGGTGGCATGGTAGTATATATGTTCAAGGGCTTCTTGGCTGCTTACATTTTGTCTTAAATAAAAGTTGGTGCCTATAATTCCTCCCTAGCAAGACTAAATATTTCATTGGGCTTTAATTCCAAAATCTCCAACCACTAGCGTGAGTATTGTTTCAACTTAATTTGTGAGTGCCTGTTGCTTGAGACTTTCTCCCCGCCCAAATACATTATTTTCTCCTCCCAGCAATTAATTTCCTCTTAATCAATGTGAGTTAGGCTTTACAAAATTGAAACTCCTCCACGTTAGCCCAATTGTGTGCCCCATCTCATCATCCATAAAAATACTCCAATATCCTAAAAATAAAACATAAAAATATCATAGAACTTGGATACATCTAATAAATAAATGAGTCGAAAAATATATAAGTACGATAAAATTAAGCATATAAAAATACGCTAATAAATATATAAAATACACACTTTTTCCGACCAATCAATTACGTAGAACTCGAGGCGCAGTCGGTTTAAAGCCCTTTGAGCAAAACTATTATATAAATAAAAAATAACAAAACCGAAAGGAAGAGATGAAGCATAAACAAATTCAGTTAGATTACGTCTATGAGTTTCATGAAAGTATTGAGTTTCATGAGAGTATTGAAATAAAGTAGAAGACATATCTGATGGAGTCGAAGATGCAGTGCTACTCCTCAAGATTTGCGTTTGGGTCGTGGGAATCCCCATTTCAACCGGATGATGTGTCGTTGCATTGTTCCGTACCCATCATCAGTTTTGAAAGTGTACTTCTTGTTGGCATATGACAAATAATGGTTGCAAATACATGAAAAAATATTTGTCACATTTTTCTATTGGGCACCTTAGTGAAATGCCTGGTGAATATGTTGGAGTTCAACCTGGCAGTCGTCCGAGTCGATTGAGGTTGTGGACTTCATCCACCTTAACCTTGAGTAAGATCGAAACCGTCTTTATATGGCTACTCCTAGTCCTCCTCGTAGGCACTCCTTTTGGATAACATCAATTGAGTGAAAGACTTCTTAGATCGTCTCAAGATCAACGTCATCGAGTAGAACCAGAACATCTCGGTATATCGTTAGCGGCGACCTCGACAATTAAGGTCTACTCGAAGATGCGCCTACATTTTTACGTATTTGTGGCCGATTACCAGCACCACTACCAATACCACCTCGATAACTCAACATTTTATAACTCGGCCTTACATCAAATAACATGTCACATTCACATACATATAGGTTGATGCTACATGTTGGTGGAGCAATAGAAATCAAAGATGTGCATGAGGAACACAAATTAAAATAAATCAAATAATTAATTATCAGAGCACCGCATCTAGGACTTGCAAATATAATTGTGATCATAATAAATGTGAACTAGTATCAAATTAAAATAATCTACAAAGATGTCATACAAAATCACGTGAATAGAAAAATGGAAATTAATTCTGTGGATAAATAGTCCATATCATAAATAAAATAGCAGAATGGCTTCAACAATTTATTTCTTATTAATCCCAAATAAAGAAATACAATTCTGTTNAGAACCAAAAAAAAAAAAAAAGAGCAAAGAATTGTAAATAAATAACAGGGCTAGTTCTGTCATCTCTCTCCTTTAAACAATAGTATAAGAAAAAACAAGACCAAATTAAGTCGAAATTCGAGACCCAGTTATCGTAAATTCACTGTGAGGGGCACCTTAATTCATCAATAATCACAAAGCCAAAACTAATTAATCTCCCGCTGCTGACCAATCAGATCACATCACCCCGTAAGGCATCCGTCACACTGAACCACGAAGATAAACCACGTCCACGCGCCGCCGTATAATACCCATCTTTTTCCCATAGTTATTATTCATGCGTCTCAAATATTCACAAAAAAATCATTTTCAACCCCCACAAAACTCAATTCTTACCGATCTTCTCCACGATCGGGTCCAAATCCCTCGGTAGCACCTCCACCCTCAGCCCGTCCTTCATGAACAGCGTCAGCGACATCTTCTGCTCCACCGCGTGCCCCTCCGCCACCGCCAGCCTGTGCCGTAGCAGCACCGCCGCCGCCACCGACTTCATCTGCAGGTACGCGAGGTCCCTC